GCTGCCTGCTGTGGGCCTGCAAGGCTTGCAAGAGGAAGACCACCAACGCTGACCGCCGTAAGGCTGCCACCATGAGGGAGCGGCGACGGCTCAGCAAGGTCAACGAGGCCTTCGAGACCCTCAAGCGCTGCACCTCCACCAACCCCAACCAGCGCCTGCCCAAGGTGGAGATCCTGCGCAACGCTATCCGCTACATCGAGAGCCTGCAGGCGCTGCTGCGGGGGCAGGAGGGCACTTACTATCCGTTTTGAATCGGATGCCTCCAGCCCCCGCTCCAACTGCTCTGATGGCATGGTGAGTGCCCCAGGGAGGACACCCTGCCACCGAGGTGCCCTGGACGCTATCAGTCCAAACCTGCGCAGGGTGTTGCCTCCTCCTGCCTTTCCTATAGCAGCTGCCTCCTGTACCTCCCCAGGCAGAAGACAAAGTCCTCTCTCATGCGTTGAGCTTCAGCCGCAAAGGGAGGTGGGGTCCCCACATGCCAGGATCTCTGGGGAAGAAGAAAAATCTCTTAGACAGTTTTTTTCCCTGGGATAAGAAGTTAGGCAGGTCCCTCTGTGTCCCAGTGGAGCCTGGGGAGAGCTCAGCTGCTGGAGGAGTGCTTTGGGAAACTGCCTGGGATGGGTACCCTGGGGGCATGGTCAGGTCTGAGCCCTGCCTGTGCTGCCGTAGCTCCTGGGGCATCTCAGTTTCCATCTTCTGCTGTATCATTACCTTTTGAATCCTCTAAAGACAGCAGAGAGGAAGGTCCCGCTTGGTCATGGTAGTTACAGGGGAACCAATAAGAGTGGGGTTTGTTTTCTGCCGCTCATCATGATAACAGGAGGAGGGTCTGAGCAATAGCAGTTACTTTTCTTGACCCTTAAGAAGAAGGTTCTCCATTTCTCCTCTTGCTTCATCCCCTCCATAGACATTTACCAGCAATAGGAAGGAGACCTGAGGCTTTCAGTCCCGCTTGTACGTTATGGGGAGGGGAGAAGAAGGGTGGATGCCAGAGAGGGTGTCTCATTGCCTGATCTTTTCACTGCACTATAGGCTTGGACTCTGGTCTGACTCTGGGGTGGTGGGATGTGGTGATTGGAGTGCAGGACAGCTCTCTGGGATGGGATCTCGACAGCGCTTTAAGGCCTGAGATTTTTTTTCTGTGCTTTGGTGGGAATGATCATTACTGAGTTGAATATCTGCAATTACGCGATAGTTGACAGATTGGAGAGTATATTTACACGAACGATCCCTCCTCAAAATATAGCCTTTTTCTTTTGTCAGAAAGAGTAGTTTCATTGTGGATTAAAGTATTGGAAACAAATATATTGGCTTTTTCTGTACAAAATGGAAATGGGAAGAGAAACTAAAGAAAATAAAAAGGGACAAAAGTACACTAGAGGCTTTTTAAGTGGAACTCATGTTTGGAAAAACCTTCAAAAATTAAATCAAAAAAAAGACTCACTCCTCTCTTGGTCTCCCTGTTGTAAATTGGACGTACGTGTAGGGCAGTATCTGATAAGAATACTGGAGAACCTCATCTCATTTGTAAAGCTACAGCATTCAATACAACAATGGTGGGAATTTTCCTTTGCAACAGCTGTGCCACATAAGATATTCTGGGGTGAATCCCCTTCTAGCCAAGTTAAGTACTGCCTCAGCCACGACTGGAATGATGGCACAGACTAGGGACCAAAATACGAAATTGGATGGTTACTGGGATTTCAGTAAACGCTGTCCCCAACCAGTGACCTCACTCAGATTGCTCTCCTTTCCAGATGGAGTACAGCGGGCCTCCGTGCAGCTCTCGCAGAAGAAACAGCTATGACAGCAGCTACTACACAGAATCACCAAATGGTGAGTATGTGCTGTAACGGCTGCGTGAAACATGGAGACAGAGGCGGTCGATGCAGCAAACTTCCCTGTGCCTTCTCTGTGCCCAGTTGTTCAGCTGACAACAGCTGGGCTGAAAGAGGAGCCTGCCTTTTCAGCCAGCGAGCTGTTGGTGCTAGTAGAAGCATTGAATTTCCTCTAGATGCATTTGCAAATATGGGGATACATTATAGGTGCATTTCTTGTTTTGCAAATATAACATCTGGATAAAAATATATTCCTCCCTGCAACTAATTTTCAGTGTTTAACAATGCTTTGCATGAAGACTCTTCTAACTCTATCTGTCATTGATCCAAACTGGAGAAACTGGCGATCAATTTCAAATCTTCCCTTCCCTTTCTATAGAGTGAAGTGAAGCCTTGGATCGACCCCACCCCAAAAGTAGCATACTTTGGTTGGGTCTCTCTTCCATTTTGCAAATTACACTCTCTGTTTTCTGATAATTGGCGTCCTTCACCAATATTCATTTCCTCCCAATCTTCACACGCTCACAGATGCATACTGTCAGCCACTTTGCTGGGGTTTATGAAAGAACTACATCCTACTGACATTAAATGCCCATAGGATAAACTGAGCACCTTTTTGTCTGTTTTTTAGATCCAAAGCACGGGAAGAGTTCTGTTGTTTCCAGCCTCGATTGCCTCTCAAGCATTGTGGAGAGGATTTCCACAGATAATTCCACATGTCCTGTACTGCCTCCAGTGGAAACTGTTGCTGAAGGGAGTCCCTGTTCTCCCTCAGAAGGAGGGAGTCTGAATGATAGCGGAGCCCAAATTCCTTCCCCCACCAACTGCACCCCACTTTCCCAAGATAACAGCAGCACCAACCCTATCTACCAAGTGCTATAAAGACAGGTCCAGCTGGACTGCACTGAAAACAAATTGCTCCATTCAGCCACGCTCCGAGACCTGCCTACTGAGACTGAAAAGACTTCTTAAGACTTGTTCCAGTTTTAAAATATCACTCAAAATTCCTTCAATTATATAACTTTTCAAACCTGTATTACTTCAAAATACACATAGGTATTTATTGGTCGTTAAACTAAAGTTATTTAATATGTCTAGAGATAAAATTGTGTAACGTGAAATGGTCAGTGTTTAATCTGGGCTTTGAGAAATAGGAGCCTGGCTCTTGAATGCAGAGGAGAATAGAAATCTACAACAGTAGTGGCATGACAGATCCTTCCTATTACTCCTGTTCTGGCCAAAATAAGGTTGTGGACCATTTTTTATAAAACTTTTTGTATAATTGTAAATAAGAGTTGCTTTGCAAAAAAAACGGGGGAAAAAAAGGAAAGAAAGGAAATAAGAAAGAAAAGCAAAAATTAAAAACAAAACAAAGGAGAAAAAAGTAAAAATTAAATATTTAATATTGCTTGGTTTGTTGTGTCAAACTTTAACTTTATATATTTATACAATGTGGTTGCCAAGAATGTTTTCAACAGTATTCTAAATAAAGACCCTTATTTATAAAATCTGTGGTGTTATCTTGACTTGCATTAGGGCTTCTAGAATTACTAGTACATTTAGGAGTGGTATTAAGATCGCTGCCTTGGCAGGAAGAAGATACAGGCTCTGATTCAGCAAAGAAATCAAGAACATGCTTCAGTTGCACTACTTTCACCTACTTTGCATAAATATGTTGCTGAAAAAGGGTCTACTTCCTTCATACTGTATCTTGGTGGTTTCTCAACCAAGCCTTGCACATCACAGACCATTATTAGAGAGAGATCTGTAAAGTAAATAAGCAAGTTTCTCTTCCTCCCCCAAAGTTTTCAATCACATCGTAAGACTTGATCTTACAAAGATGTGTTAGAACCATGAATCACAATAAATTAGACTCTCCAAATTCCAGTGCAGCTACCAAAACTTACACAACAGTATCTCACAAGACCAGGTATTACGTTCTTGGGCAAATGTTCAGATTTTTCATTCAAGTTCTGATTTTCAAGTTTTTGTACCATGTTTGTATATCCTCCAGTATTAGAAACTAACTGTGAAGGATTTTTTGTCATAAAGTTCAAGGTATAGATCACGGTTTTCCTCAACTTCAGGTTGGAATTTAGACCAAAGATAGGCAGTTTTAATTTGGATTTGAACTTTATGCATCTCTGGCAGCACTACTCCAGGGATTTAGTTCTTGTTCAGGGCCTCTCTAAAAATAACCAGTCGGCTATGTTTCATTCAGTATGTATGTGTAACCTTGCAAGCTTGCCACGAAACTGAAAAATGTTAAGCCCTGACCAGGTTGTCATTGGTAAGTAACCATAAGGGCATTTCTGTACATTTGGACAAGAATAACCAGCAGCTACAGCAAATGTCAAACAACCATTTCTTGTCATATTCCTGTGATTTATGGCTTTTGTTTACACATCACAGTAAAAAAAAACCCCAAACCAAACCAAAACAAACAAAAAAACCCACCCTAGAAACCAACCTAGATATCATCATCAGCTCTAAATACTTTGATGACAGATCAGTCACTGTATTCTCTCTTAGGTGACTGTTAAAGAGGGATTTTGTGCAGCTCTTACCTCTTAAGTAGGAAAAAGAAAAAGGGAACAGCTAATACTATGGGAATGTCTCCCACTCCTTTAGTCATGGGGGCCTTGAAGATCAATGCTCCATGGAGAGAAGAGGAGTAAGCAGCCTTGTGTTGAGCAGAGCAACGCACTTGCTTCTCCTTCCTCCTGGGGCAGAGGCTTGCTCCAAGCTTGCTGTCTTGTCTGAAGCCAGAGGGTAGAGAAGGTAGCAGCCATGGGAATTCCTTCCTCATCCGTGTGCTTGTGACCATGGTGGATGATAAATCAGTGTCAAGGCACACCAGGCTCCCATGGCTCAGAGGGGACTCCAGGACTGGCCCCTCAACACCTTTGTCAAAGTCCAGCTTTGTAAAGGACTCTCATTTATTTCACTGTGGGCAGAAAAGAGTCCAGCCCATAAAGGTTGAGCTTACTCCTTTCATTTTTCCATTAAAAAGAAAAATTAAGTGAACTTGAGAATATGCTAATTCATATTAACATGAACCAGGAGGGTCTCTACTAAGGTCAGAGAAATCCCCCAGGTTAGTTTGAAGCCTGTATCCCTAATTTACAAAACTCAAAGACAGTTGCCTCACAAATCAATGCCTCGCACATCAACAACAAAATTTTCATTGCCTCCAGCAAACACTCAATCAGGCCCACAATGCAGAAGATCAAAAGATGCTTTTGTGAAATCATGGAGACCTTGCCATCCTCATACTCTGAGGCTGGTAAAAGTATCAATTTTACTGTCATGTCAATGGAAAACAAGAAATATTTTGCCAGCTCAGGAACCGCAGAGCCTCTATACGCATTGGCAGCACAAAGTTCATGCCTGCCTCACTACAGCACCCCACTTCTGTGGGACACAACAGGGTGTACCTGGCTGTAAAGCTGGCACGGCAGAGTGGACACGGGGCGCTTGTGCCCAACAATGTACATGCAGTTCCATGTGAAGTCATGTATATTGCATTTCACGGATTTATTTTAGCAACCCAAGTTTCCACATACTGATGTTAATGTTACAACAGAGAACAAGCATTTAGCACATCCCAAAATAGATGGATAGATGAAGAAGAAAAAACATTCACAGATTTCCTATGCAGAGCCTACCTTTTTCTTATTGATGTTGCTGAGAAAAGTCCACTGGAGTAAGGCCAAAGGGTGCCAGTGCTGATAAATATACAGCTATATTTATTTTTGAACTCAAATAAGGAAAATGTGCTCCCTGTGTAATTTCTTCCTGTCTATTTCGAAGGTAATATATTTAAAACAAATGCCTGGAGTTACTCTACTACCCTGTACATCAAGAGGACGGCATGTTACTGACAGAAGTATATCCTGGTCTAGGGGCAAATATTTTGAAGCTGGAAATACTTGGATTCAGAGCTTTAGTTTAGATCCAAGAGTGGCACATAAGCAGAGCTGAGGAACAGGTACAAGGCTACCAACATTTACAAACTTTCGTTCTTAAATTGGTCTCCTCAAGATGTATTTAGGCATTTAGGGCTGATCCTACAAGACAAACTGCAGGCTAGCTTGGTCTACAGAAACACTCCAGCATGAGCTACAAACACACACCAACAGCCTGAAATCATCAGTTTATACCACACAGGTTCCAGTTCAATATTCTGTGGGACAGGACACCTAAAGAAACACCATCTGATTTAAAAAAATCTGAATCCCACAAATTGCACTGACAGGCAGAGCCTGGGAGAAACTGGAGGCGACTGCAAACCAGACCGTTCCTTTCCCCAAGCTGTCCCGGCAGGACACTTACAGAGCCTGCCCCAACGTGGCATTGGAGCTTTTCACTAAAAGTACTAGAACTGTCTGATGTTTCCTATGGAACGCTACCTTCAAAGGGAGACTCATACAGCCACAAATAATTAAAGGAAAGTAGCTGTCTCTGAACATAAAGATAAATGTGTATTTTAGGAATGTTTGATTCGATTTGGTAACTTAAGAAAGCCCTACTGGGGCTGTATGACCAAACTAGTATTATCGCTCTATCTTTTACAAACTATTGCTATGGAAAAAGTGAAGAGGAATAAATTTATTACCTCACTTATATATGCTATGTGCTTTGATTTTAAATTTCATCAGGTCATTTGGAAATATGAGAATGAAGAGGATCCTTTTTCTACTTGCAATATTTCACAACGAAAAAGTGCAATGAAGTTGCTGGGTTTTAAAAATAACAATGTTATACACCATTTCTCACACTGTTATTGAGGCTGCTACAGAAATTTTACACATACTAAAAATTCAATTTTAGGTAAAAAAAATATGTGATATATTGGTATATTTTTTCTTTTTAAAATACTTTATCGTCTGTATCCAAAAAATATTAAAGAAATATTAAGTTGGCAATTGCTTTGCACCAGGTGCTGCTCTTTTAACATGACTTTTCATTTTAAACACAAGATAAAGACCTTAAACACAACGAACGTGGAAGGAAAAGTAGTTTTCATTTTACAGCTTATATTTTGCAGAGATATTTGAAAGGGTCAAATGGTGCAAAGGGCAAAAACTGGTCATTTGACTCTAAAAAATGGTATTGTCATCTTCAGAAGAACTACATCTAAAAGTGAACAGACAAGCAAACGTGTACCTCATACCACCCAAATGTTAATGAGAAGACATTAGCATTTCCCTTTTGTTTAAAAATTATTAATTTGCTCCTTGAAATTAGCGGCAAAACTTCCAACTCCAGTGGGAGCAGGTTCAAGCTACTGCATGTAGTACGTCTGGGACAGTGCTCAGGGAGCGGTGCAAAGCCGTGATATAAACCCCCTGCCGTGCCCCTTTGCTTGTGCTCTGCTCACTGACCCGTTCCTATCACAACCCCTTCGGATACGCCGATCACCAGAGCACAACCACACTGAACAAGCTGGCAGGCTTTGTCTCACCTGATCTTGAAAATACAAACCAGAAACTATGCTCATAATAACGCTGAAAGTCTACAACATTTCCAAAATGCGCGGCTGACATGGAGCCTGTGACAGCAGGAGGTGGTATGAAGGTCATTTTGCGTAACTGGTGTGTGGCGATCTTGGTTTCACCAGTGGTAGGTAAAATGGTCTTCGTCCAGTCAGAGGGCAAATCTTTGGCAACACAACCTGCATTCAGTGTGCGCGAGAGGCTGTAGGATGGAGATAATAGGCCCACGTATCAAACGTCCCAGAGATCATCTCGTGAGGCATACCCGAGTATCTCATTAAGCACGATTTACTAATGCTTCTCAGCTCGCCCTCCCTCAGCCTTTCAGATCACTTGTTTTCCAGTAAAACTGTTGGAATAGTCATGACTTTCTCTCCTTGCTCT